CCCCATTTTCTTATTGTCAGGTAAGGGTTGCTTTTAGCTCCTAGAGGCCACTCCCAGATCCATGGCACATGTCCCCCATCCATCTCCCAAGCCTCCAATCTCTCACAGAGAATCTTTCTCCCCACCAAGGACGCAGCCCTCTTTAAGGGCTCAGTTAATTAGGTCAGACCTATTTAGGGTAAGCTTCCTCTCAAGGTCAGCTGATTAATTACATCTGCAAAATCCCTTCACTTTGGCACCCAGACTAGTGTCTGACTAAAACACTGGGAGAAGGTATGGAGGAGCGAGTAGGAATCTTAGGGGCCTTCTCAGAATTCTGTCTACCATAGTGTCATTCAATATCTTCCTCCTTTGGGGCAGAGCTTACTTACTGAGGGAGTCCAATGAGGGAAGGGAATAAGGAAAAATCTTTTCTTGGCATTGCCCAGAGTAACTCTGTCTTTATTCACTGGCATCACTCCAAGATTAACTTTCTCAAGGTTATTTGAAAGGCTTGACGATGCCACAAAGATGGTTAGAATGGAGGAGAAGATTTTCAGGTGAGGCTCAGCCATGTGAAATGGAGCTGTCTTACTAAGAATATAGGCCTGGATTCTCTGTGGTTCTATCACTTTATGACTTCTCCTAACTTGGAGCAGATAATAAAGAAGACCAAGGCTTATCCATGCAGGACTAAAATTAAATGAAATGTTCCTGGCACATAGAGCTTGGATATAAATATTGGTTTCTTCCTACTCTCTCTTTCCAGGAACTGCCAGTTTTGAGAATTCCTTTGGTTTGCAGCTTATAGATATTATAGTCATTTTTTGTCCTTAAATCTAAATAGTCTAGGAAGCAGAGATATCTGAGTTCTTCTCCACCATTTTTCCTTGGCTAACATTGCTCCCTCCATAGCTTCACCTCTAGCCTCCCAGCACAATCCCCCTTCAAAAAAAAAATCATTGTAAATCCCACATTCAGCTGGTCACATTGGGTCTTCCAGACCCTGATTTTAGGACAAGCAATGTATCAAAATTAGCTTTAGCTATGAGTAACAGTAAAAAAAATAATAATAACGACAGGTTAAATAGGATAGAAACTTATTTTACTCATCTAATATCTGGTAGGCACAGTGAATTCTGGGACCCAGACTCCTATTTCTTGTTTCTCTGATGTGTAGCTTCTGTCCTATAGAATATTTGACCTAATTTAGCTGTCAGAGCTCCTGCTATTATGCTATATTGAAACCAGGCTCTAGTCAAGTCTATTTATAAAGCTGCTTTCATCTCAAAGCTAATAGTCTGGGCAATCCCTTATAGCATTTGGTACCAGTCTCTTAACAAGTGTACCTCCAGGTCCTAAAAGATGTCCTAATTATCAGATGACTTTAAGAGAGGAAACAGGTTTTCTGATTCCTTCTTTTACATAAAGACGCGTATCCTCCAGTGATAGCAGCAAGAAGGTTTTAATATCTTGATAATGTGGATTTATTATTGAAAAAATTTCTCTTTCCTAAGTAAGGACATATATGATAATATATAGAGATCAATGATCTTCAAGTTTTATGATAAACATCCTGTTAACAAAAGTTGAATATGTGTCTCAGTATCAATTAGTTACCACTAATATGTATATTATTAAACAAGAGAAATCAAAGGGGCATAAAAATGTTCTTTATTTCTCATTACCCTGTAACTCATCTGTACCACCTCTACCACCAGCCTGGTTGCCCACTCCCTTATTTAGGAAGGCGGTGCTCTTGACTCTGGCCAAAAGCCTGCCTGTGGATGAGCAAAGGAAGGAAAGGATACTCATTTAGAGAAATTTCTTCTTGTTACCATCTTGCTCCTATGTGTGTTTTATATAGCCTTTCATGTAATGCTCACACATGCACAAAAGATGGCTATAGCTGTTTTTTTTTTTTTTTTGAGGAAGATTAGCCCTGAGCTAACATCTGCTGCCAACCCTCCTCTTTTTACTGAGGAAGACTGGCCCTGAGCTAACATCCATGCCCATCTTCCTCTACTTTGTATGTGGGACGCCTACCACAGCGTGGCTTGCCAAGAGGTGCCATGTCTACACCCGGAATCCGAACCAGCAAACCCCTGGCCTGCGAAGTGGAATGTGCACAGTTAACCGCTGTGCCTCCGGGCCAGCCCCTCTAGTTCTTATTTCACAGATGATGCTCAGTATTCAGTGGCTTGCTGAGGGTCATGGCAGTTACGTGGCAGAACTGGAACCAGAACCCACTTTAGTTTAACTTTATCAGTTTGACATGATGCTCTTCTCAATGTGTGACCTTTGGCCAAAATCCAAACTTCATTTGCTCAGGGTCACAACTGATCCCAACTAAAGTCAGTCCATTTGTTTTGCCGAGGATATTCTGTTGCTAAAACAGATAGGGCTTGTCCCTGTGTTGGAATAGGTGGGGTAAAGGTGACCTCTTAAGTTTCTGTTGGGATTCTTACCTAGGAGAATTATCTCCCTTGAGAAAAAGTAAAAAACCAAAAAACCAAAAAAAACCCTGATATGTTGGATTTAGATAAGCATTGATCTACAACAATGACAACAGAAGGGCAGCTGTACTGTCACTGAAAGCAGCCATAATGTTTAAATGTTTAATTCTTAAATATTTATGCTTTAAGTAAGGACAGAGTTGAACATATATATATATATATATATATATATATATATATATATGTATGTATATATTTTGTGTCTCTGGGTGAGGAAAATTGGTTCTGAGCTAACATCTGTGCTAATTTTCCTCTATTCTATGTGGGATGCCACCACAGCATGGCTTGACGAGCTGTGCTAGGTCTGCACCCAGGATCTAAACCTGCAAACCCAGGTCACTGAAGCAGAGCACATGAACTTAACCACTATGCCACCAGACCGGCCCCACAGTTAAACATACAGACTTCCAGACCTCTTAGAGTCGTGAGACATAATCCAGTGAAAGCTAAGCCCCTACTCTAATAGAACAGCCTTGGAGACAGGAAGCCACGGAGAAGCTGGACCTTCCTGGAGAATAGTAACAATGAAGCTGATCGCAAGCCACAAGGGCTCTCTACTCCTTTCTGAAATGAGATGAGGTGGTGGTCTACTGCAGCAGAAGGGTCCGGAAGTAACAGATATGACCTCGTTTGGACCAGCTACATTCATCCCACGTGGAAGCTGAGCGTGTGCTACCATGGTGAGGAGACATATGGCTGACAAATGCGATAGGACTGTTAAAGTTCATGAAATACGCTGTGACACATTGATAATTTTGTTCTTGACAGTAGGGGGGGAGAAACACATTTCTTCAGGAATTTTTTAATCAAGAGCTTTCCTATGTAAAAATCTAACAATTTAAAATGATCTGTGCTCCCTCTCATGTTGTGACTATAGGCCTGTAAAAGTACCTCATGACAAATTGTAATGCAAGCTTGAGAAATTTTCTCTTATAAACTGGCAAAATATTTAGTTAACATTTAATAGAAGTAAAGAAGTATCATGAAATTTGGCTGTGATTCAGATCCCAGATCTGTAATTCTCTATATTGAGTGTCTGAGTTAACTCCTTAACCTCTAAATTGTCAGCTTTATCAGCTGTAAAATGTATTCTGATACTACTACCTCAAAGGATTGTGGGAAATATATACAGATATAAAAAAAGCTTAGCACATCATATAGTGCAATTTCTAGAATTATTTTAAGTTAAAACATTTTGCCTTCCAGAATTAACAATTTACTATTTCCTTAAAAATCTAAGATGGGCTTTAAGAGATGTAAAATATGAGAATTTTGTTTGATGTTTCACTCTTTGATTCAAAGATTATGAAGATCTCCTGTCAAAATGAAATCATGAATTATGAAAGCTCAGGATGGTAAGAATAAATGAGCAAATAATTGATAAAATCTTCCTAGAAGTTGACTGCATCAAGGGTTAGAAGAGAGAAAGGAGGACTGGGTAGAAAAAAACTGAGTGGAAAAGGAAGCTGGTACGGCTGAGGAAAGGAGGGACACACAGGAATGACTATGGTCTATGAAGGAAAGGGGAGAGTAAGACGATGGAGTGGGGCGTGGGTGTGGGAGAGTTTGTTTGAGATAAAAGGAAAGGATGTATTTAAGATTCCATGGGGAGACACCAAGTTTTGGAAGATCAGATAGCAAATAGAAGGATTCTCCTTGGTCTATCCACAGTAAAAAAAAAAAAAAAAAGCGAAAAACAGAAAGGAAGAAAAATCACTGCAGTTTGGTTAGCTGGGAATTGATTGATGCCATGGAAATCTTCCAGAGACATAACTATCAAAACTGGAGAAGCTGGGCAGATTTCCTCTTCACTGGGGTCAACTCTGAACTATCTGGGATTATCCCCTCACCGCCCACCTGTGACACATTCCTCAGTCAGGCAGTTATTCCCATGCTTGATTTTCTATCTAAAGATAATGTGATGATCCCTTCCTTCAGCAAACATTCTGGAAACTAACAATCAGGCATTGTTCTCTAGTGAAACTATTTAATCGTTTAAGAAACACAATGAGATTCTAGGGGAATGGCTTGTAGGATTTCTTTCTGTGAAATTGTTAATATATAAATGAAGTTCATTAAAAAAAAACTTATTAAGGGCCTACTATGTAGTAGGAGCTACTATATAAGACCTTGGACACATAACAAAGAACAAAACCTTCATCCATCCAAAGAGATTGAAATTCCTGACCAAGGTAACTGGCTATTCAGCATTTTCTAGGAGCTCATTAAAATGCAGATTAAGACTCCACCCTAGATCTATGGACTCAGAGACTCTGGGGGTGGGGCTCCGAAGTCCAGTGATCTCAGATGATTTTAGTGTTCACTGCAGTTTGATAGCCACTGCCCTATGTTTACTATATAGATATGATTTGAAACTTTACAGGCTTCCTACCTGATGATGAGAGGAAGGACAGAGGGAGCCGCTGAACAGATAAAAGCCTTGCAGTCTTCAGTTCTGGCTGTGTTCCCTAAAGGAAATATTTAGGATTACAAAGAAAGGTGAGCTTTTCTCTGAAGATTATTTCCTTCATCACGGTTTTCTTTAAATACCTAAATTTGATCTTAGTGTTTATGGAAGTTTAAAAATATATAGATATGCAATGTATAGAAGAATAAGGGAGAAAGCCAGGACAAAGGAAAAATACAATGAGGAAAAACAAGGGTAGGCATGAATTTAGCACATAGACAACATACTGGGGAAACAAATGACTTTCTAACTTTCCATTGCCATGGTTTTTGTAAAAATATTTAACCTCTATTCTCTCTGTCCTCTGATTTCTCCTTTGTGCTGTTTTTATTTAAAATTAAAAAAAAATACTTATTGAGCATCTAGCATCAAATTTAGACATGGGGAATCTAAGGAACTTAGTTTCTTGTGGATGAAGAGTGGCTAACAGGTAACTTGTTCATACATAAAAGTAGTTAGATACAAAGAAAATAAAATGATATGAATGGTGGGTATTTCCAATTGGCTGATTAATAGGCCTCTCTGAGGAAGTGACCTTTGAGCTGAGAATTGAAGAAAAGAAAGGAGCTAGAATGGCAAAAGTGTAAGAGAAAAGCATTGGCAGCTGAGGAAGCAAAAAGGGCGCAGAGGAATTCGTTGTAACTGGACCTGACAATGGTCGGGGAAAGTTATAGATGAGATTACACGTAGGCAGAAGGCCAGACTATCTAGAACTTGGTTAGCCATTTGGATTTTCTCCTAGATGCAATGGAAAGCTTTTAGAAACCTGATTTAGGTCATAAATAGTATTCTGGTTCTTGAGCTGAGAAGAGTTGGAAATGAGAGGGGCGCGGGGCTGAATACAAACTAGTTGAGACAATGAAATGACGGTGGTTTAAACTATAGTTCTAAATGAAGGAATTTTAAAGTGACTTTTAGGAAAAAAGGTATTAGTTGAAATCCAGAACAGTGCTTTAGATATGTTAACTTGGAGTGCTTATTAGACATTTAATTGCAAATAAGTTGGAAGTGCTGTGTCTAGGCAGAAGAGTGAATTGAAGAGTTCTTACTTAAACTTTTGGAAATAAATGTGATTACCTAGGGAGAGAAGGAGAAGTAGAATAAGGGACTAGAACTGACCCTTGAAGCCCCTCAAAACTCGAGGTTCTAGAGGATGGGAAGCCAGAAAAGGATGATGCAAAATAGGCCAGTAAAGTAGGAGGGATATCAGCTATAAGATCTTGATAGCAAAGAGAACAAAACATTCCAGAGACGGGGTCGAGGTCAACTATGTTAACTGCTGCTGAAAGCTCAAGACAGATAAAGCCAGGAGTGGCCACTGAATTTGGAAACTTAACAATATTTTTGTGACTCATTAGTTGTTTTCAGTAGAGTAGTCCAGGAGATGTTCAGGCAGGCCAAGACAAAAGAAGGTACCTACAAGGGAGTTCAAGGACCCACTCAGTAAAAAAGAATTGGAGCAAATTCAAAGCCAAATGACAAATAGGAAATATTTGCAATTTGTATAATAACAAGGGGATAATCTTTTCAATGTATAAATGTGTCTTAAAATTAAGGAAAAAGACCAAAAACCTGGCAGAAGAAAACAGGTAAAAGGCTTTAAACACAGGGTTCACAGAAAAAGGAACAAAAATGACTCAAACATATGCAAATAATAGCTTTATTCATAATAAAGTAAATGCAAGCTGAAAATATATAACAATACCATTTCTCATCTATCAAGCAGGCAAAAAGTTTGATATCTTTCTCATATGTTGCTTTGAATGCAAAATTGTACAACTCCTGTGGTTGGGAATCAGGCAAAATGTACGCAAAATTATAGCTGTGTTTACTAGCAATCCCATTTCTAGGGAATATGCTTTCTAAAACCATGGTTCTATAAACTTTGGTCTCAGGATTCCTTTGCACTCATATTATTGACGGACGACCCCAATAAGCTTTTGTTTGTGTGTTATATGTATTGTTACTCTATTAGAAATTAAAACTGAGTTTTTAAAAAATATTAGTTTATTAAAAATAAACAACATTTTGATGAAGAAAGTTTTCTGAACAATTATTGGCAAAGCATAGTTTGATAGTTTTGCAAATCTCTTTAATTTCTGGTTTATCAGAAGATGATTATTTTCTATCCTTTCCTATATTCCATTTATCGCAATTTATGTTAGTTCATATATATGAAGAAGCTCTGTCCTCACACAAATAATTAGTTGGAAAAAAGAAAGCGCATTCGAATAGCTTTTTCAGATAATTGTGCGTGTGTGTTTTTCTGTAATCTTATCAATGAGCATTTTGTCCTCTGTTACATTAAAATCTATTAGTCTATCTTATACTTTGCATCCACTTTACCCTTGTATAATTTTGTAACATGCATTGGTCATCTGGAAAATATCAGTTCACTGAGTTTGCAGATTTTCCAAATGTTGACAGATTTCATTATACAATAGTAAAAAATTACATTTGTTACGATCAACACCAATTTCATGAGAAAGACTAAATATTGGGAAGCTGTCAAACTTAAAATAGTGGATGCACATTTTCCAAAACGCTAATTTTTGCTTCAAAGCTTAAATTTTATCATTGGCAACTAATACTTAGTTGGTTTCCTTGAAATGACAAGGTCACTTTAGTAGCGTTTGAGAAAATGTCTTCCAAGTCGCTATATCTGAATGACTGGGGTTTGTCTCACTTGTTCTTTCAGCTTAAAAATGTTCTATGAAAAAAGTGGCTAGTATGTTTTGCAACTCCAAAAATCATAGAAAATGCTTTTCTTGAAACAACCATTATATTTCCATACACAACATAAATGCTTTATGCACACTTTCCATTTTGTCACCCAGAATATTAAATAAACCCTGCACTCAAGGGTTGAGATTTAATATTTTACTTCATCAAGAAATACTATTCTTAAGTAAAATGAAACTTTTTTTTAACTGGGAGTATGCAAGTATGTAAAGATTAAAAAATACGATAAATGACTATAGTACCGTTTGATGCTATTTTCTTGATTAATGGTACGAGCCAGCAGTTTTATCTACGGTCAGCGCAAACGTCAACACTGAAAAAAGCAAATCAGGTCTCGAGAATGCCGCTTGGAAAACTGCTGCTTTAATGCGTACCCTAACCAAATAACAAAAATCATCATATATACGATTAGTCAACTTCAGAGTTATAAAAATGTTTTTCGTATCTTAAAAGTTAAAAAAGAAGGAATGAAAGGACAGGAGGTCTAGTTAACGGTCAAGAAAGTTTGGGTGGGAGTGAGCGCATGAGAGGTGGAGGATGCTACTGAATCCAGAAATGAAAGTTTGGGAGTTCTGAAATCTGTCAGGTCAGTTCCTTTCAAGAGATAACTGTCAAAAGAGCCGGTTAAGGAAGTGGATTGGGGACAAACGCACACACAATAGAGGATTTGAGAAATGAATACTTGGTGTTTTGGCTCACCCAACAATGGCTGGAGATAGGCTTAGACGAGGAAACTAAGTCAACTAAGGTAATTCTTTACTGGGGAAGCGTTTCCCAAATTCAGTAGGTAATACATTTTAAGAATATATTTAAAATGTTTCTAGAGAAAAAGTAGAATTGTTGCTCAAAGTTAATCAGAATTGTCTGGAAATGAGGATGCAGGGGATAATAGGTCCCTTGTTCTGTTTCCTTAAAAGAAAATCCAGAGAAGATGCAATTTCCCTTTCGTGTTTTTGCAAACTTTTTATTTTTCGGGGGAATCATTTTTATTTTTTTAACCAATATCCCTTAAGGACCAGTTCTCTGGCGAGGCAGGCCTTGAACCCTGGGTGTGAAATTTGTGGTGCCTCACCCTTAAGCGCATGCGCACCTAAGGAGCCTGGACGTGAGCACTTCCTTAAATTTGGCACCCAAGCACCTCTTATTTAAGGTGGCACTCAAAAGAGGCCCTCACTTTCTGGCTCATGCACGCACCGGGAAAGTGAGTGGTTCCTTAAATTTGCGCCCAGAACATCTAACACCAGGCTTTCGTCACTCTAGTCCCGGAAGTTCCTCCAATGCTTATTAATACACTGTGCCTTCTGTTGATCATCTTGATCATCTTTTCCTTTCTTCTTTTTTCTTTTTTTAGTGACTTACAGGGAAGTGGGGCGCAGTGCCTCACTTGTGACTAAGTTCTAGTCAATAGCTCAAAATTCTCAGAAAACTCGAGAACCCCTCTAGTCTTAGAACATTGGTATAACTTCTTGTGTCTCCTTCCCCGAGCTAGCGGCTGCCAGAGGTTTGCTGGATTGGAGGAGTCCGGGATGCGCTGACCCCCTCTCCTGCTTGACCGTAGACCCTGAGCTTGACGAGTGCGTCGGCCCCAGAACGCTGCCGCTCTTCTCTTGTTCAGAGTACAGGGAAGTAGTATTATTCCACATCAGCAAGAGCCCATCTTCAACCAGGGACTCCTGCTGCCATGTCCAAAAGGCTCAGCCCCCAGTTACAGCAAAAGATCCCAGAAGATGCCTACTGTGAGAAACACCTGGAACCGCTGCTGCTGTTCTGTGATGACGACCAAATCATACTTTGTGGCAAGTGCTTCCAGTCCCAGGAGCATAGGCATCACGTGGTGTATGGAGTGCAAGAGGCCGCAGAGAATTACAAGGTAAGCTTCATGCAGATGCCAGAGCCCTCTGGCGCTCTGGCTGCCTCTTCTTATTTATTAACTTATTTATTTGGGGGCAGATATTCTGATCCTCCTGACCATTCCCTTAGTTGATGTTTATCAAAGAGTATTAGGGGCCGGCCTGCTGGCCCAGAGGTTAATTGTGCACCTTCTGCTTAGCACCACCTCCACCCCTCCCTTCGCTGGTTCAGATCCGGCTGCAGACCTGGCCCCACTTGGCAAGCCATGCTGTGGAAGGCATCCCACATGTAGAGTAGAGGAAGATGGACAGGATGTTAGCTCAGGGCCAGTCTTCCTCAGCAAAAAGAGGAGGATTGGCAGCAGTTAGCTCAGGGCTAATCTTCCTCAAAAAAAAAAAAAAAAAAGAATATTAGCAAGTATTCTATATAGACCTTCAACTTCAAGGCTAAGAAGACATATTGTCAGGGCTGCTGGCCCCATAATTGTCTAACGTTAGGAATCCAACTGTTCTAAAGCAAGTACTTTACCTGGAATTCTGTGCTATATTTCTTCACAGATGTTATTCCAGAAGATATCAAACACGTTGAAGGAGAAACTTGAAGTAGTTAAAAGCATGTTGGCTGATGAGCAAGAAAGAATGGTGATGATTCAGATCAGTGCTTATCTTGATTCTTAGGGGGGAAGTTACTTATAATGTTGGATAACAAATAATATAAACAAAGACAAATGACAAAGCAGGAAAAAATATTTGAAATCCATAAGAGGGAAGAGTGTTGATTTCTTAAGGTGTAAAGAGCTCTTAAAAGTCAATAAGCAAAAGACTAGAAACTCAGTAGAAAAATGATCAAAAAAATGAGTTCACAGAATGGAAAATGCAGCTATCTTTTGAAGAAGATCCTGAACTTTGCTCATGCTAAGAGAAATACAAATTAACTGTATTAAATTTGTCAGTGAGATGGTATTTGCAACCTTATTGGCAAAAATCATAAACATGATCACAGTTTATAATGATGCCCTAAGAGAATGAACATTTCATGTATTTTTGGTGGCCATATAAATCCTGAAACCATTTAAAGGGCAGTTTAAGGATTACCATCCAAATTGAGGGCTCGCCCTCGTTTATGTACACGTTTCACTTCTGATTTCAAGCCCTCTCTTCGTATATAACTCTATTCTGTGATAGATAGCCCAAATTCTGAGTCGTCTCTCTTCCAGTTTTTAAAGAAAATGAACGTCCAGTTGAGGCTGGTAGAGGAGGAGAATTTCCTGCTTGTTCAAAAATTTTTAAACTGATCATTGTTTTTTTTTTCAGCCCAAAGAACCATATATTCAACAAATGTTGGGGTCCCACTCTGTGCCAGGAACAATGCTGGGTACCGGGGATTTAGCAGTGGGAAAAACCAGTTCTGTCTTTGTGCAATTGACATTCTAGTGGAGATAAACAAAATAAATAAAATGTATAGTATATTACATGTTAAGTGCTATAAAAAATTTTTTCAAGAGCAGGAAAGAGTGATGAGGTACACTTTTAAACAGAATGATCAGGACCTCGTCATTCAGAAAGTAGCATTTAAGAAGATCCAAGGAGGTGAGGAATTGAGCCATGCAGTCTTGGCAAGAATGTTCTAGGTAGAGGGAAGGGCAGGTACAAAGGTCTTCAGACTGATGTGTACTTGCTTGTGGCTGTATAAAGGAAGTGGAGACTAGAAGATGGTATCGGGAGATAAAGGGGCCAAATCATCTAGGGCTGTCGACTTTAAATTAAATAAAGAAACCACTGGAAAGTTTTGAACAGAGTGACATCACCTAAATTCCATTTTCAGAGAAACACTCTCACTGCTGAAGGGAGAACAGACCATAGGAGGGTGAGAGTAGAGGTGGAGGTCTGAAAGACTGTTGCAGTAATCAGAGACAAGTGATGGTGAACTAGTAGGTAGTGGTAGAGGTGGTAAATGTCAGGTTCTTGATAAATGTTGAATCCATCAAGTCTCATGAGATTAAATAGCATCACTAAGCTGACTACTCCTAGTGTATGTCTCCAGCTCAGACTTCCAAATGATACGCTTTCATGTCCAACGTCCTACTTGGCATCTCTTCTTGGATGTCTCCATTGACTAAACAAAATTAGCATATTCAAAACTAAGCTCCTCATGCACTCCCCACCTCTGGAATCTATCCCTTCCACAGTTTGCCTGTCTAGGTTTTGGCAAATCCATTCTTCTAGTTATTTATTCTAAAAACCTTAGTCACCCACTGATTCCTCTTTTTTCACACACCCTGTTCAAAGCATCAGCAAATGCCATTGGCATTACCTTCCAATTCTCCTGGTCTCCTTTTTGGTCACTGAGGTTGTAGATTCCTCGGTTAAGTCAATCAACATTCCTGTGTTTTCATGTTCTAAATTTGTGTTGATGTCTTGGCTGATCTCGACTCCGAAATTCCATTTATATTGATGCCTTTTATTTCTTCTCCTGTACTTTATATGTTTTTGTTTTTATATGGGAGTTAGAGATGGAAAGAGAAATATTTATGGTCAATCTGTGATATTTAATCTGAAGTCTATCATCTATTTCTATGATGAAGGAAGAGGAGCAGAATTTTAAAGAGATGATTGAGTCTGAATATAGGCTTATGTTCCGGTTGATGATTGAAGAGAAAGAGGTGAACTTCCGGGGCCTTCATGGGTATGTATTCAACCTGAACTTGAGAGAACCTAGTCTGAATCAACTGACTGAGTTTGCTGCAGAGCTAAAGGAGAAGTTCCAGGAAACGCTGCAGGTGAGATATTCAAAATGGCATCCTCACAATATTTGGGAAATGAGAGAAAGAAGAGCTGAACATTGTCAGTTCTAGAATAAGACAACCACGTATGATTAAAAAGAATGTATATATTCACCTAGCAACTCTATTTCTGAGAATTGATCTTGTAAATATACTTATCTGCATATAAAAAGATGCATGGATAAGGGAATGCTGTGAAATCGTTTGAGTGTAGAGCCATGGCTTAGAGGTAATCTTTGAAGCCAGATTGATGAGGTTCATATCTGAGTATCTGCTATTTACTAGCCTCTAGGTGGCCTTGGACATATTGCTTAACCTCTGACTCAGTTTCCTTAGCTGTAATATGAGGATAACAATGGCCCCTAGTTCACAATGTTGTGATGATTGAGTGAGAAATCTATATAAAGCTCCTTAAATAGTATTTGTACATATTACACACTTGATAAGTGTTAGGTATCATTATTACTATAATATTTATTGATAGCAAGAGACTAGATGCAACCTATACCCATTGAAATGGGACTCATGAAATATATTGTATTATGTACGTACAGTGGAATTCTCTTCAGCATTTAGAAAAGATAACATGGCTCTATGGTACAAATAAGGAATGTTCTCCAAGAGCATATTATTTATTAAGAAGAAAGCAAGTTGTCAGATCAGCAATAGTATAATAGGATGTCATTTGTGTTAAGGAAATAAATAACATGAACATGTGCTTATGTGCCTAGGTGGAGCATCTTTGTGAGGATGTAAAGGAAACTGGTATCAGTGGCTTGATTAGCTATTTCATCCCTATTGACTGAATTTAATTTTTAAATAAATTATAATAAATCAATTTTAATTTAACAAAGGAATTAGGAAACTTTCTGAAAAAAGCTGCCCAGCAAAAACAATGTGATCTGTTGTTGGTCCAGGTTGTTAACTGAGTAAGTGGACTGCATTCCTACCATCCACATCAGCATAACTGTGTTAAGTGTCAAAGAATCAAGTTTCTATTGAGGTGTCCTGCTTGACACAGGGGGATGTCCTGGCCTCCTAATTGTCTGTTTCTGGGGTGGCTGGCAGTAAAGGGCGTTTCTAAAGAAATAGTTGAATTGGCAAAGAAGAGAAATTGCTAGTAGTTGAATAGTAATAAGGAGATGCTTCTGCAGAGACTGAACGATCTGGGGAGAGAGAATCTGAATAAACTGAAGGAGAGCGAGACCAGGCTCTCTGAACAGATCTGCAGTCTCCAACAGATCCCTGTAGAGTTAGAGAAGAAGTGTGGGGAATCCAGCTCAGCACTGCTCCAGGTAAGACTTATTGCAGTATTTGAGAAATGAGAAGTGGACAGTACTCATCAGGGGTCACTTCCAAAACAATATCCAGTGATCTTCAATCATGTGGAAAGGCTACATAGCTATTTCTCAGTCACCAAAAGCATTATGACATCATAAAATCATAGTACGTGTACATCTCCTTCATGATATGAATGCTCACCTTAAAATTATCAATAGTAAGTTTGAACTGAGCTATCCCTTAATAGGGTAAATAATTGCTTAGTCAAATTATTATACATCCATGCAATAGAATGTTCTGCAACCATAAAAAAGAATGAAGCAGCTCTATAGGGATTAAAAGGTTATTTTCAAGATTTCTTAAGTGAAGAAAACGTGCAGAGCCACTTTTCGTTTTTTGGAGAATATGTATACATATGTGTAGACGTATTTGCTTATTAATATTCAGACGGCCTCTGGGAAGATGAACACAGACATTGTAATCTGCAGTACCTTCGGGAAACAAATGGGAGCCTTATTTATGTAGTATTGTGTATTTTAAATTTTATACAGTAACATGCATTGCTTTTTCGATAAGTAAATTCTGATCTTTTCAAGACTCTATCCATTTGCCTCTGCCAGGCTCATATTTGCAATGTGAGTGCTTTTATTTGAGAAGCCCCTACACACAAACCCTTAGGTTCTGTTCTAGAGCCAAGCCTGGTTCCAGGTAGGTGTCACCCAGTTATACTCGGTTCCTGAGCTGGCTCCCTGCCCTCCGCAGCCCAGCAGGCCCCTGCGTCTGCTCAGCCTTTTGCCACCACCAGTAGAGAAAGCAAACAGATGAGCAGAATTTGAATGAAGAGTGTTCTGAATAAGATGGCCAAGGCGAGGTGCAGAAAATATTTCCCTTGGGAATATAGCAATGACCTCAAGCGTTTTACTGACTTTTCCTATTCGGTATTAAACCTTGCCATCTGAGAATTAACACCACAAGGCTGAAGAAATTACATGGAAATCGTTTCATTATTCTAAGAGAAGATATTTTCGTGAGCACAGTTCACAAAAGATTAGCTCACATACCCAGGGGTAACCTTATCTCTTTATTTTCCCCCATAGAATGCAAGATATTCTTTGGAAAGGTAAGTTTTTGTTTTGGAAACTTTGGGGTCAGGCGCAGAGTCTGCTGTGTGAGCACCCAGGGCTTGTTGGGGTAGGGACAGGAGGTCGTGTAATGAGATCCATCCTCTGGATGGAGGGACCTGGGGTCCGTCCGCGCAGATGACTGACGGTGTCCTTTCTCTAACAGGAGTGAGTCGCTGCTGCTTCAGTGTCTACAGCCCGCCCAAACTGCAGACCTGAGTTCGTGCCAAATAACAGGAATGAGCGAAATGCTCAAAGTGTTCCAAAGTAAGTTGACACACATCCATGATGGCAGGGCACTTTATTTTTGTAGGACTTGAGAATCAAGTGACCATCCTATAAAAGGAAATGCTAGATGGCTTGAGCATTTAAAAAGACTGGAGAGTGTATTGTGCTACACACATTAGATATCTATCAAAAAGATAATTGCATAATCTGATGTTGAAAGGCTAGTCTCTGCAAATCCTTTGTCAGTTTCCCAACCCTGAAACACAATTGCAGGCAGATTTCACTGCTTAAAAATTTTAGGGACCAGCCCAGTGGCGTAGTGGTTGAGTTCGCACACTCTGCTTCGATGGCCTGGGGTTCACAAGTTTGGGTCCCGGGAGCAGACGGACACACTACTTGTCAAGCCACGCTGTGGAGGCATCCCACGTAAAATAGAGGAAGATTGGCACAGATGTTAGGTCAGCAACAATCTTCCTCAAGCAAAAAGAGGAAGATTGGCAACAGATGTTAGCTCAGGGCCAATCTTCTTCACACACACGAAAATCTAAATTTTGAGGGAAAAAAGGTCAACATGTATAACAAAGGATTTCTATCTTCTACCTCATAGTTCTGCCTTTTCCTGAATGTCTGTCAATGGGTTCATGCAGTATGTGACCGTTTGAGGCTGGCTTCTTTCACTTAGCATAATGCATTTGAGGCACATCCAAATTTGTTGTGTGTTATCAGTACTTCTCTTTTGTTGTTGTGTGGTATTCCATTATGTGAATCAACCACAGTTTATTTATCCTTTTGCAATTGTATGGGCTCTTGAGTTGTTTCCAACTTGATGTTATAAATATTTACTAACCTTACAGATTTTGCTGTGGATGTGGCTTCATACCTCTTGGTTGAATTTCTAGGCATGAGATTGTCAAACTTGTTTTCTAAACTCACTGTGCTATTTTGCATTCCCACCAGTAATGTATGAGAGATTCAGTTGCTCTGCGTCCTCGTCAGCATTTGGTATTGTCCATTTTTTTTATTAAAGCTAACCTAATAGGTACATAGTAGTATATCACTTTGCTTGTCAATTATTTCTGAAATGAATAATGATGGTGAGCATATTTCATGTGTTTCTTTAGACTTTACTGTATCTCTTTTTTGAAGTGTATCTGGAAACATTTTCCCCACTTATAATTGTGTTGTATATTTTCTTAGCGAGTTTTGTGATTTCTTTAAATACTCTGATTACCAGTCCTTTATCAGGTATGTGTTACTTCCCCCAGTCTGTGGTTTATATTTTCATTTACCTAACAGTATCTTTTGAAAAGCAAAAGTTGTTTTTTTTTAAAGATTGGCACCTGAGCTAACAACTGTTGCCAATCTTTTTTTTTTTTTCCTGCTTTTTCTCCCCAAATCCCCCCAGTACATAGTTGTATATTTTAGTTGTGGATCCTTCCAGCTGCGGCACATGGGATGCCACCTCAAAGTGGCCTGATGAGCGGTGCCATGTCCACGCCCAGGATCCGAACCAGCGAAACCCTGCACTGCTGAAGCGGAGCGTGCAAACTGAACCACTAGGCCATGGGGCCAGCTCCATGAAGAGCAAAAGTTTTAAATTTTGAAGTTCAGTTTATCATTTTGTTTTCTTTTATGGCTTGTGTTTTTTGTGTCCTGAGAAATTTTTTCCTACCCCAATAAAGATTTTCATCTTGAAGTTTTACCATTTTAGTTTTTACATCCAGGTATATTATCCATTTAGAGTTAATATTTATACATGATTCAAGATATGGTCAACTCCCCTCCGTTGTTTGTACATGTATAAGCAGTTGTTCCAGCATCATTTTGTTGAAAATGCTGTCCTTCTCCATTAAATTTAGTTTGATTTCGCTCATCAGTGTTTTGTAGTTTTCAGCAAATATTGTTTATATTTAATTAGATGAATCCCTAACTATTATTTTTTAGTGCTATCGTTAGTATTAAATGTCAATTTCTTTCTATTTTTGAAGAAGAAGAAGATTAGCCCTGAGCTAACATCTGCCGCCAATCCTCCTCTTTTTGCTGAGGAGGACTGGCCCTGATCTAACATCCGTGCCCATCTTCCTCTACTTCATATGTGAGACGCCTACCACAGCATGGCTTGACAAGCAGCGCCATGTTCACACCTGGGCTCCGAACCAGTGAACCCCAGGCCACCAAAGCGGAATGTGCAAACTTAACCACTGCACCACTGGGCCAGCCCCCTAAATATCAATTTATAATTGAAATTTTATTCATTTCTAGTTTATAGATATAACATTGGTTTGTATGTGTTGAAATTGTATTTTACAACTATCCTAAACTCATTTATTAGATCTAGGGGCTTTCTTATATGTTCTTCGGGATTTTCTACAAAGATAGTTGAGTAATTGATAAATATAAAGAGTTTTATTTCTTTTCCAACCTTTTCTGTATTTTTCTCACCGTATTGTACTTGCTAGGACCTCCAATATGATGTTGAATAGGAGTGGTGAGAAATACTTGCCTTTTTTGAGGGGAAAAAGAAGGCATTAAGTCTTTCCCCTTTAAGTTTGACGTTAGCTGTAGGTTTTGTATAGTTGCCTTTTATCAAGTTGAGAAAGTTCCCTTCTATTCCTGTTTACAAAACTTTTTATCACGAGCAGATATCGAATATTTTAGATTCTTTTTCTGTATCTACCCAAAATATTCCTGTTTTTTCTTCGTGTATTAATATGGTGAATTTTGTCTTTTGCATATGTTGTCAGCCTTGCAATTCTAAGATACACTCTTGGTTACAATCTTTTATCCCTTTTATATATTGCTGGATTCAATGTGCTAATATGTTTTTTTAATTTGGATCACTTTTTTTTTTTTAAAGATTTTATTTTTTTCCTTTTTCTCCCCAAAGCCCCCCGGTACATAGTTGTATATTTTTTGTTGTGGGTCCTTCTAGGTGTGGCATGTGGGACGCTGCCTCAGTGTGGTTTGATGAGCAGGCCATGTCCGCACCCAGGATTCGAACCGACGAAACACTGGGCCGCCTGCAGCGGAGCGCGCGAACTTAACCACCCGGCCACGGGGCCAGCCCCCAATGTGCTAATATTTTTAAATGAATTTTTCTATTTATGTGAATGAGGCATATTGATTTATAGCTTTCTTTTCTTATAATCATCCATTGATGCTATTTAATTTTATTTTCATTTCTAGATAATCTCTGTGTTTCTTTATCAAATCTACTTGGTCTCACTTTTACGTTTCCTATATCCTGTAGATATTTTAAGCTTTTCTTTTTTCTTTAAACATAGTAAGCAAAAATTATTTTAGAGTCTCTTCTTGGTAATTCCAATATCTAAAGTTCTTCAGATTTATTTCGGCTATCACACTCAATAGTGCTTTCTTACTTTGTGTGTGTTTAATGATTTTTTTAATAGTAAGCTTCTCTTTTTTCCCTGGATATTATTTTTAGAAATTCCTTGAGGCCAGAAATCAATGTGTTCATTTTTCTAGAAAGAATTTGCATTTTTTTCTGCCAGTCTTCTGGAAATACTAAGAGCCTGGGATAACTTGAAATTTAAAATTCAAGGCTCGTGGCTTTTAAGACCACCTTAATAATGATGTAAACTGGGCGTCAAGTCCAGAGATTTAAGTTTATTTGGCAATGAAACGTGCTGCTGGATTAGATGTTAAGGAAAGTAAGAAATAAAGGACTACTCTAGGTTTATGGCTTGATCAACTAAAACAATAAGTGTGCTGTTAACTGAAAAGTAGAAATTAGAAAGCAATAGGTTTGAAATTCCACATTGGATGCAGTATGTTTGAAATGCCTGTGTTATGTCTAACTGGTATATGGCAGCTTGTTTATGGGGTAAATAGTGAACATATAGAAGATATTTAAACTGAGGCTAGGTGAAGTCACCCAGGGGGAAGGGAGTACCAGTAGTAAAAAGGAAGACCCAGGACCAATCTCTGAGAAATCACAATATTAGAGGATGAGGAGAATGAGGTAAGAGAAGGAACAATCAGAGCTATGAAGGCAAGCAAGTGTCACTTTCATTCAAGTATAAGAAATCACATTGAGCTTTCTTGTTCTTGACTTGATTTGTCTGGAGGATTCTTATGGGTTTTCCAGCCTCTGCTGATATATTCTCTTTTGATGTACTCAATTCAAGGGCCTGCTGGCACAATTTCTAGGCAGCTACGTCTCATCCTCTGGTGGTATTTAAAATGAGGAGAGTATTCAGTCACAGAAGAGACAGGAATCAACTGCTCTATTAGGAGACTCCAATGCTTCTTTAGAGGACTAGGTCTTCAGGGAGCTACAGCTGGGTCCCAGGTGATATCTGGCAAGGACTGGATACCAGGCCATTTTTTACAGCCTGATAAAATTCCTTTCTGGTTTGAAAGGTGCTTCTATGCTTCTCCATAGTGCATTATTCTTGTTCTTCCTCATAGTCCATTATCCTTTTTTCTTCCTCCTCAGATTGATTGCATCTCCTTCCATTATCTTACTAACTTTGTTCCTCTATGATGTCCATTTCTTGAAACAGACAAAGGCTCCTTTTCCTGGACTTTCCTAGATTGCCTCTCCCCTATCTGTGCCTGAGACTTGTGCCCACTCATTGAAAGCCCTGCCTGTTAGAAATCATCAGTCTCTGGGGGGCAGACCCTGTGGCAAGTGGTTAAGTTTGCACTGCGGCCCAGGGTTTCCCAGTTCAGATCCTGGGCACCGACCTAGCACCACTCATCAAGCCATGATGAGGTGGCATCCCACATAGCACAACCAGAAGGACCTACAACTAGAATATACAACTATGTACTGGGGGGCTTTGGAGAGAAGAAGAAGGGAAAAAAAAATAAAAACAAGATAGGCAACAGGTGTCACCTCAGGTGCCAATCTTTTAAAAAGAAATCATTAGTCTCTGGCATTGGCGAGCCTCTAGGTTAACTAAATTTCTCTTTGCCTGCAGGACCTATAACTTTGGATCCAAAAACAGCTCATCCCTGTCTGGTCCTATCCGAGGATCTGAGAAGTATAAGACTCAGAAACATCCAGCAGCATGTGCCTAGCAACCCAGGGAGATTTGACTTCAGTGCCTCTGTGTTGGGTGTGGAGAGCTTCTCCTCAGGGAGGCACTACTGGGAGGTGGATGTGGAAAAGGCAACGAAGTGGCAGTTGGGTATATGTGAAGACTCTGCCAGCGGAAAGAGTGACGCACCCAAAGCTTCTGGAGATAAAGTCCTACTCACAGGATCCATGATGGGAGCTGACTTTACCTTCTGGGTCTTTCCTCCTTTAAGAAAGGTCTTCTTGAGAGAGCAAATGCACAAAGTTGGAGTTTTCCTAGATTATGAGTATGGGCAAATATCATTCTATGATGTGACAAAGGGATCCCTCATTTATAATTTCTCTTGTCTCACCTTCCAAGGAGCTGTCAGGCCTCTGTTTTCTCTTTGTATCCCAAATGGAGGCACAAATTCGGACTCTCTCAGCATCTGCCTCCCTCGTGTTTCTTCTTGAACTGTTGCTGTTACACCTCAGTCATCCTTGGTGTGAAATCTAAGACCACAAGAAGCTACAAAGTTAAGAGCGTGATTTTGTAAAAGAATTTATATAAAGGAATCCAATAAAAGATTTCTAGTGTTTAAGTTGGAACCCAGTTCAATACCCCGAGTCTTTGCATTCGTGTAGCTTTCAATACCCATTTTTGGAAGAGGTTACCTTTAAGCTGAGTCATGAATGATGTAACTGATGTTCTAGCCTACTTAGAACAACAAATGTGTTTGCAGCATAAGACTGGAAAACTAGGGAAGAAATATGGTCTGCGATCCTTAGGACCAGGTTAAGGACTCCGGAGATATTTCTGAAAATAGAATTAGGTATAATCAGGACTTTAGATTTGAGAATAATCATCATAGTGACAGGTGGAATGGAGACATCCTTTTACAGACCCTGTTACTGACATTGAGGCATCCTATTACTGACAATGTCAAGACTTCCTAACATTTATCATTCCAAATAGAGAACAACTTAATTTCCCTGGATATTTTATCTGGGGGAATAGGAAGTTTTACAGAAAATGTGTTTTAAAATTATTTTTTCAAGTATTCTACTTCTTTCTTATAAGGAAAATTAAATTTCTTAGAAGAAGCCTGATAGTTCAGTGCTTTGGAAGACATGAGTAATATTGGATTGGTGTCTTGTATTTGCTCTCATCTTTCTCTATTTGATAATCCACAGAAGAATGTCTTTTCCTACAGCCTCGCTCAGGGGTGATGGGTTGTACAGCGCTGAAAAGAAGATGACAAAATATTTATAGAGGGATTTTTATGTGAAAAGCTTATCGTACTTTATCTCCCTTAATATTTTTAACAACCTGTAAGTGTGTATGAATCTTAATACTCAAATATAGAAACCAGGGCTCAGAGGTGATGTAATTTTCTTAAAGTCACATAACTGCTAAGTATCTAGTAAGAAACAAGGATAAGGAATTAAATCTGGATCCTCATCAAAAAGCAAGCCCTGCCTCCAGTCGTATTGCATAGGCACCTATTGTGTAAGCACGACTAGGTAGGATAGCGGTCTCATTTTATCTAAATTTCTAAAAATGCAAGCCAATTTCTTTCTGTTTTTTTTTTTTGAGGAAGATTAGCTTTGAGCTAACATTTGCTGCCAATCCTCCTCTTTTTGCTGAGGAAGACTGGCCCTGAGCTAACATCTGTGCCCATCTTCCTCTACTTTATATGTTGGACGCCTGCCACAGCATGGCTTGCCAAGCGATGCCATGTCCGCACCCGGGATCTGACCCTGTGAACCCCGGGCCCCCGAAGCAGAATGTGTGCAGTTAACCGCTGAGCCACCTGGCCAGCCCTGCAAGCCAATTTATGCAGGAAATGGAGGAAGCATATTATTTATCTTTCTCTCTGTAGGTTTACTCTGCATGTATTATGGAGGCTGTGTTCTTCCAGATGGGCAAAGTAAAAGGGAGTGAAATGCAAATACAAGAAAATTGCTTCTGTTGACTCATTGGGGTCTGGGAAGGTGTGAAGTCATATTACCTATCTTTGGGGTAACAGGTTTTTTTTCTTTTTTTGGTGAGGAAGGCTGGCCCTGAACTAATATCTGTTGCCAATCTTCTTTTTGCTTGAGGAAGATTGTTGCTGAACTAACATCTGTGCCAGTCTTCCTCTATTTTATATGTGGGGATGCCACCACAGCATGGCTTGATGAGCGGTGTGTAGGTCCAAACCAGTGAACCAAGGGCCACCGAAGCAGAGTATGCGAACTTAACCACTATGCCACTGGGCTGGCCCCTGGGGACAGATTTTTAATTGACCATTTAGAATTCTCAAAATTTGCTATTACAACATCATGTGGATAATTTGTGTGTTTGTGTGTATGTGTGTTAAGACGTAAGCATAGAAAAAGTCTTTGCACCTCTTCCCACCGAATCACAAGAAAACTGGGGGGAAAGAAGCCCTGATTTGAGAATGGGAGGTTAAGTTAGGTGAGGGAGTAGGAAGTGAGATAATTATTTGAAACACTGAAATTAAGCAGTCAGAGCACTGGCTCCCAAGCCCCTTCCCAATTTCCTGAGGAAAAGATGATGATTAATTATGTAGGGAAATGTGAGAATTGAGTAATAATTGTCTATGTGATTCTAAAACTCTACCCTCATCTTATACCAAATTTCTCCTGCCTCTGCAACTTGACTCTTAAGAACTATTTTCCCAAACTTAGAAGCCAAAAGAGAATGCAGCATGTCCTTCCGATGTCACTCTAACATGCACACAAAGATTTAAATTCTCTAAGAAAATGTATCTATATTTGACCTTGGTATTTGCCATTTGATGAGAACCCAGAAACTGAAGTTGTGTGTTAACTTGAAGAATTGTCCAGCAGAGAAGAAATCCTAAAGCTTTGATTTTCTTGCCCTGTAGGGTATTAACCAGTTTTGTATCTAACCTAAGCAATCTTATTTTAACATTCTTTTTTATTCCTGATAATTTGTATAAACTACTGCTTCTCATTCTGCTTGGAACCAACTTTATTCTCTGATTGTTTCTTTACCTAAGTAGAGTTGAACAAAATCTTTTCTTTTTCTTTCTTTCTTTCTTTTTTTTTTTGGCTCAAGAAGATTTGCCCTGAGCTAACATCTGTGCCAATCTTCCTCTATTGTATACGAGGGTCACCGCCACAGCATGGCTGATGAGTGGTGTGGGTCTGTGCCCAGGATCCGAACCTGTGAACCCCGGGCCACCAAAGCAGAGCATGCCTAACTCAACCACTACACCATGGGGCCAGCCCTGAACAAAATCTTTGACACATGACCATCTGTATTTGTACAAGAATCATGTTTTTAAGCCTTAGAAATACTTTGACACAGCCTACTGACCTTCTGCATAACAATGTTGAATGTATCCTTCCAGCCACAAAGACTCTCTGCACTTGCAGTTCCCTATACTTCAGTCACTGCTCTCCCCTTTTTTTTGCTAATTCTGACTCATTCTTCAGCTCCTAGCTTAAGTGTCTCCCCGAAAGAAGACGCCTTTGATAGCCTTAACAAGAGCAAATTCTGGGACATCATTGCACCAGTTACAGCTGCTTATTACACAAAGCACAGTTGCAATTTTATATTTATTTGGGTGATTATTTGATTGCCTTCTCCACTAGACTGTAAATTCCATGAGGGGTAACAACTGTGCCTGTTTCTCTTCATCACTTTATCCTGTGTTAAACAGTCTCTAGCACATAAATTCTCAAATACATATTGAAAGTGAGGGAAAAGTCAGTAAGTGGTAAATTGTGGGACTGGATGGGTGGTGGTAGATTTCAAGTCCTGGAGGGGAGGTGTACCTGTGTCAAAACTCAAAGGTGAGTGAAGAATCTTCAGGTGAAATGGTGGTTTAGTTTGTTAGGGAAGCCATAATGAAGTACCACAGAATGGTGGCGTAAGCAACAAAAACTTAGCTGTCTCAGTTCTGGAGGCTAGAAATCCAGAATCAACGTGTCGGCAGGGTTGGTTTCATTTGAAGACTGTTCCGTGTCACTCTTAGCTTCTGGTGGTTTGCTGGACATCTCTGGTGTTCCTTGGCTTATTGACATCACTCCCTTCTCTGCCCTTATCCTCACTTGGCGTTCTCCCTGTGGCTATCTCTTCACATAGCATCTTTTTTTTTTTTTTTTAAGGGCACTAGTCATATTGGATTTAGGGGCCCACCCTACAGTCTGGCCTCATTTTAACTTAATGATGGCCCTAGCTCCAAATAAGGTAACATTCGTAGGTGAGGGGAGTTAGTGGCATCGTTTTTTTTTTTGATATGGGGGAAAGAGGGAGTGGGGACGATGACAGCTCAACCCATAGCAAATGGGTTAGTGTGAAATGGTTTTTCATGTATAGCAGCAGGTTTGCAAATTGTCCATCCTAAAACCACCTGTCTTTAAAAATCCCGGTATCCAAGCCACCCGTCTCCAAACACACACCCCGATTATGTCAAAATCGCAGGTTGGAACTCAGGTGTCACTTTTCCAAAGCTCCCTAGGTGACTGCAATCTGCAACCAAGATTAAGAAGAAAATTAGTAGAGGCAAGAAGAAGACAACAGCTGGTTTGGCCCGTAGCTGTAGCCTTTTGTAGGACTTGCCATTGTAAGCCTTAAGATGTTAAGATGTGATGGCACTGGGGAGGGGACTGTTAGTCTGCAGATTAGGGTGAGCTTTTCATGCTGCCTCTAGTGATGAGCAAGCATGCATGGCTCCCAGGACTGGGACTGCCAATCTGCTGTTTAGGAAGGTGTCTGGTGGGGTAAGGTGTAATTAGGAGTTGCTGTATGAAACTTTGTCTTGCATATTGGAGCTAAGTAAGAACTAGGAAATCTCAGGCCATTGGAGGAGCCTTCGTTGGTTTTGGACACCCTAGGATTACCCCACCACTGTGGGGAGATAGCTCTAAAAACACTTTGCATATGATGGTTTTTTTGCCCAGCGTTTGTTTAAGTAAAAAAATCCGGTTTCATTCTGTAGTTAGAACTTGGAACTAGAGCTCTACAAATGTGTAGAGAAGGCGAGCCGTGAGATTCTTTATGGCCGAACTACTGATGCATTTCTGGGTTAAAAGTTAAGGGAAAGCCCACAGCTCATACCAATCTAGCCCTGCTGCTACCTTCAGTGGGAGTCAGGGCAGTCTGCCTGAAATCATCTATCTGGGGCCAAAAGAAGGAAAGGTAGGGGACCTCACTGCAGTTAATTTTCCTGATCTTGAAGAAAGCAAGAAAAGGAAAAGAGGAGATAAAGAATTCGTGGGCAATGGGGAAGGGATTTGAAACTTTGATTTCTCAAATTTCCAGATTAGTATGTGATAACTGCCCATCCATGGTACATTGAAGTTAAATAGCAATAGATGGGGCATGGGAAGAGATGGAGAAGGTTGCATTTTCCTTGTGTCTGGACAAATTGCAAAGCATACAAGAAACTGAGACATTTGAAGAGAACCTGAAGAGAACCAAGCTTGAGACGAAATTTACCCCCGTGTGAGAGGAAGGAATTCTCTGCAGCAATAGTTGGATGTGGTAGACTGATAAAAAGAATGTTGAATTTAAATATTACGTATTAAAATAATTTAAGTGTATACACATGCTCCCTGCAAAGCAGAGTTTCAAAT